GCTTTTTTAGCGCTCCATGTGGAACTGAGCTTCATGGGTTTGTTTAACTGAATATACTTGAAAAAAATGAAGGGAACACAGACGTGTAACTTCTCCAGCTACAGCTTCAGCTTCATTCAACATACACACATATGCACAGCAAGCCTGATTTCGGCAACAACAACTGCTTTACGGCAGCTACTGTAGCTCTTTAGGGACACATTACTCCATAAAGTAAGAGCACATTTAAAAAACAAAACAAAAGACAACTGTAACGTGCAGTGCAAAGTGACGCTATGAGCTTAAAGCACACGGAGAAACCAGAGGAGACAGACAACGGTCTCACTACACATAATATGCTAACCGTGTTAGCACAGGTCGCTGTGATGATACCAGAAGAAGATGAGCACAAGCTATAAATTAAATAACAGCGACTAGAGAAGTGCTCTGGTTATGTGGAAGGAGAAAACGGGAGCTTATGCCGTTTGTCGAGCTGGAGTACAAGCCACCATCATGGCTGACATCAGCTTGATGTTTGAGGAAAGCACAGCAGTAACTGTGCAGAACATCAAAGTGTTTCCGTTACTACAGACGCGTGGACAGCTCTCACCAGCTTTTAGATTTAGATTATCGCAAAGCTCATCCCTGATAAATACAGACATACCTTGAAAACACAGTTAAAGATGAGATCTGCTATCCTATCTAGCTCTACCCTCTGGTAAATATGTTCACTTGACGACACAATAGCTGCGCACATTTCTAATATACAGGCTGTGATAGATGTAGATAATTTGCTACATGAAAACAGGGGTTCTGAAGCATGTTCATGGCTGCCACAAAATGTATCATCACTAAAAATCGTAGTGCTGCTGATAGCCAATCAGGAAAGCAAACCCACCAAGCTCGACGTGGAGACGAGTGCTACTGTAGTCGAGGCTGCGCTCTGAGGCGGATATCTTATCTTTGCATTAATCATCTGAGGAAGGTTGAATCGTGCTGGCTCTGGTCAATACTCTGCAGGTGGGTGTCAGGAGGAGGAGGAGGCGGTGACAGAGACACCAAAGACAGGGAGTGAGGAGGAAAAGGGCACAGTGGTTAGGGAGAGCCGTCCCAGAGTTAAAAGGTCAGGAGAATCATCACAGACAAAACGCCTCTCGTTTTCTCACACGCTGTAGTTTCACTCTGGATAAAACCTCAGAAAGTACAACTGGTTGTTGAAACATCACCATGGAAACTGCTGGTACACCTCAGCAAAGTAAATGGCAATGGCATCAGAGGTCTACACGCCTGAACGTTGGGGAAGAGTTTGAGTCCGTATTAATGTCATCTCTGATGCGAGGCAGGGATGAAAGAAGGTTGGTGTTTTTAGTTTTGGATTTTGAATTTTTTATTTTATTTTATTTATTTATTTTTTAAATCAGAGAATCCAAAAAGACCAAGTACTTTGAGTTTTCTGTTGTATCTTTCATCACTAGAAGTTCACTGATGTACACAAGGGGAGAGAGAGTTGGTTTGAGATAGGAGCAATAAATTATGCATCGAAAATTAGGGAAACGGGAATTCTGCTAATGAAGTGTTTCCCCATCTTGTGTGCAAAGTGAATCTTAATGGTTGTTTCAAATATCACCATGATGTCAGACTCTGTTGCTCTCCGACCACCATTTCTGCGTCTTTCTTTTTGACGTCATGTCCTGCCTCCTGAGACCCCCTCCACTCCCCCCATAATGGTTGATTGATTGACATGAACGCAGCAACACACATAGCCGCTGTGAGGTGATATAGTATTTAGAGAAGTAAAAAAATGGAAAATGCAGTGCGTCAATGTCTCGCTTTTACTTTGACTTTGTTGATTAATTTAACTTTTTATGAACAATTTGACAATTAAAAAGCGACTGAGTTAATTGATGCCTTCAGTGTAGAATAAAACCAGCGATGATAGCAACCCCACGAGCCAAATGTAATCTGTCATTTTCATGACGAGTCCATGAGCGAGGTTTCAGCTCGGATTGATGTCGAGGAACATTGAAACAATGAAGCTGCCAGAAGCTCAGGGGACGTCCAAAGCATTACCAGACCAGCAGCGTCTGCTTCACTAGTGACCTCTGCTGCTTCATCCATGTTTACAAAAGTGACTCATGAATCAACACATACCATGAGTCTGCCAGTGGGATGGAGGGAGATACTCATTACTGTCAGAGTGAAAGAGCAGCTGCTCGCGTGAGGGTCTGACGTACTATCACTCATTCAGGGAAACACCTGGATGCACAATCGACTGGGAATTCAAACCAAGAAGCAGATAACGGATGAGGCGATAATTGGATCAATCCAACAATAATTAGGGTTTCTGCAGTAATATTGGACCCTGCACCGGACCCCAATGAACTCCCTCGACCTCTCGGCTAATAGAAGCAGTTGATCACAAACCTCAGACCTCATCCTCTAAGAGACATCATCACTCACATCATCGAGAGGACGAATCTGTTTAGAACAGATCTGACCTCATAATCATCAGCTTCAGACTCTTCTCGAGTAATGGTCTGTCAGGTACACGCATGTGTATGATAAACGGTCGTCAATGTGCGATCACCCATTGGTTCTCAGACTGTGGTTTTGAAGCCTCAAATTTGCCATTAAGAGTGTCACCATGCTGTGTTCTGGGAGCCAGACCATATTGATCATATTTGGACAGACTGGATGGCCTGGAGGGGAGTGAGGAGTTTGCAAAAACACAACTATCAAAAGAGTTGTGTCTCAATTCAGGGGCTGCATCCTTCGAGGAGGACACAGCGTCACAGCGCCGCGCGTTGGAAGGATGTTCTAATTTCAAGGCTCATAAATGCGTCCTACTTTACTCAGGCCACAGATGACACATCTGATGCATCCTAGCTAGTTTCAAGGCAGCTGTAGAGGGTTGCTAGGCGACAGGAGAAGTGCTTAGAAACAATAGGGTAATGGCGGGAACAGACCAAACTGTCTCATTTCAGTTTCGGCCGGAGCGGTCTACACAGGCTACGAAGGCTAGGGTCCTTTGTAGGACGCTACACCTGAACAGGGACAGTAAATATTTCTCATAAAGAAACTGATTGCTAGTGTTCTCCACATAACAAGACACAATGTGGGTTACCTAACAGTATTTGATAATACAGTTAGAGAACTTGTGGAAGGTTAAAAAGACTTGTTGTCACAAACTATAATACTTATAAAAAATGCTTGGATTAAAAACATAAATGAATCAGTAAATAAATAAAGATGGAGATTTAACCAAGTCTATAGGCTGAGGTCAACAGGTGGTTTTCATGAGTTTTTTTTCAGGCTGTGGCGTTGTGGTCTTACAGGTACTGGGGCTTAATCTCTGTAACCTACAAACATTTTTATCTAAATTTTCTCAGTCAAAAATACTGCCAAACCTTGCTGCTTCTAAGAGATGCTATCTGTTCACTGTGCTCGTTTACATCCAGGTGGTAGAGTCAGAAGAGAAGGCACATTAACTAGCTAGTGGTGGACGACTGCATTGCAGTTAGAGTATGACCTTTGACCGGCATCAAGGGACAAAATATTATTGATTTGTTTAACCGTCTAGTAAGGGTGACGTCTTTTAACTGTCAGGTGAATAATTGCTCACCATATGATGGAGCTAATTGCCAAGTATTTGTTTATGCGCTTGTTCATGCTCTGGTCATAAATTAATTTATCTGTGTGTGCCTAACCATAGGAGTCAGGATTGTGGGGTTTTTAGTATTGTTTTTCTCTCCTTCAAAAGGTGATCTGAAGATAGATAGAAAAAAAAGAAATAGAGAAGTGGTGGAGTCACATCAGAGGAGCGAGTTTGTTCAACATTGAGTCACAAGTATGGGTTTATATGGGGTGTTTAAATGGGGCACACGCTCTACAGAGTGAGCTGACAGACCTCTGGGGAGTCACGGCTGTCGTTGGCTTTTCCCAGCGGAGAGGACAGCAGGCTGCCATGTTGAGAAAACTGGTAAGTTACCTGGTTCTTTTTTGTTCACATGCGAAAGAGGGCCACTTACACAACATCTCATATAGCTACCACCATCCATAGAATCTTGTTTTAGTGTGAAACACTTTTCAGCTATTTGCCGCACTAATGTATTAGCCTTGGTAATTCAACTATTCAGCATGTTTAACTCTTTTGCTCCTTCTCATCTCTACGCTCTTAACCATGTGTGGCTCAAAAAAAAAACAGAGGCAGTGGCCTTTATGCAAAACTGAGCCTTTAAACTGTTTACAGAACAATGGCTTCATGTTGGAGGGGGTTGAGGGTAAGGCCCTGTGTAAAAAAAAAAAAAAGTTTTTTTACACACCAAACAGGAAAAACTCTTTTTATAGCACTGGCTCTGTCACTGTGACACGAAACAGGAAAGGAAATATACTGCTGTTTGTAGTTTGTTGCATTAAGAGTAGGCTACACTCACTGCAACAGAGATACAGATGTACACCACAATTGGCCGTAGACCTTTTGATTTCAGCCTCATTCACTCCAACCTGCAGGTAAAGTATGATGTCACGATCACACACGTGCACGCACACCCACCCACAGTGTACAGCTACAAACACACTGAAAACCAGCTCTTATTACCCACATTGCACACACACACACACACACACACACACACACACACACACACACACACACACACACACACACACACACACACACACACACACACACACACACACACACACACACACACACACACACACACACACACACACACACACACAGTAAGCGGTCATTTGCAGAGCAGCACAGGAGGAGGCGTTTTGCATGTGGCTGATAAAGCACAGTGTGGCTTTTGGAGGCTGCAGACACTTTGCTCCTCAGCTGCCCCTCCAGCAGCCCTGCACCGGGGCTATGACTCATACCGCCTTCCCTTCTTCTGATGCTGGGAACGACAATAACACGGAAACCCCAGCAAATAAAACAACAACAACAACAACCACCACATGCATCAGACACGATGTCCCGGTGCATTTCCTTTTCGTTTCTCTTTGGTGCTTACCTTTCTTTGACGTTGAAGTAACTAAGTCAGATCTTCCTCTCAGGTGTCTGTTGCTGCTGCTGCTTCTGCTGCTGCTGCCTGGCCAGTTCGTCTCCTCCTCCTCCTCCGAGACGTCGCATCTCTCCCCCCGGTCCTGATGGAGGAGAAAACCCGCTGCAGAGATCACCGGACCTGGAGGGAGGTGTTCTTGTCAGGCTGTTTTTAGGTGACGGGGTTGCAGTGCTGAGGAGTGCTCAAGCGTACCTCTGAGAGTGCAACCAGTCTGATGGATGTCGCTGGGCTTCCTCGAGGGGTGGAGGGTAGACGCTGGTGACGCATTCAGGGACTCCTAAGAAACTCGGATATGTTCGTCTTTTGCAAACATGGCAACTTTCATGTGCCTCTGAATCTGAAGTTACTGGAAATTAAATATGAAGCCTAATGCTAAATTCATAAATTAAAAACCACATATCTACCACAGAAGTACTTCAAATAACAAATACGGTTAGTTGTGCTGTAACTTGATCAAGCATGAGGTCTTGTTTTCAAAATATCTTCAAATGTATCCAGGGGCGACGGGGGATCACTTCAGCTGTATGAGATGTGGAGTTAGGAAGTTATAAGTGAAGTCAGTGCTGTTGAACCGAAACCTGAATTATTTCCAATGTCCAGCTTTGGGTCATCTTCATGGGCTGCAGAAAGATGTCCCTCGTCTTCTATAGATCTTACTTCTCATTTGACTTATTACCTGGGTGAACATTTTCTAAATGAGTTTAAAGTCTCACTTGAGAGGCGTTGTCAATGCAGTATGATGTTCATTTTGTAAATGAAGAGTAAAAACAGAGCATAAGTAATGTACTCTTTATATATACAGAAGCCCTCGGCCCTTTTGAATTTCCCTCGGGATCAATAAAGTATCTATCTATCTATCTATCTATCTATCTATCTATCTATCTATCTAAGCCCTAAACTGACATATTCATACATTCTATTAAACTATGTTTTCCGTGATAACAATTACATTTGAATTGCCTTCTTGAGTTGTCAACTTATATTGTTATCTCAGGGTAACATCGTTGGTTTTCCCATGAAACCGAGTTCATTTCTGCCGTTCCAGAGATCTTAAAAGGTAGGCTACTCGATATCTACTACTCGCTGAAAAACCAGCGTTGTTATCCCAAGATAACGAGATAAATAAGTCAAGATCACGAGAAAACAACTGCAATTAACTCTTTGTAAAAAAAAAATGGATGTTTGACCATCTAAGGCTTCTGTACTTTAGAGCTTGTTTACCTGTGATTTCCAATATTGACATGAACCCATCGCCCACACATGGTCACTTCTGGCACCAAAGAACAAAGCTGGTGAAGTGTCAAACTCGTGCTACATATTGTTTTTTTAATAACTAGTCAGGTCAGTAAGTCCTCCAATCAGAAACATGCTCAGATCAAATCGGTAAAACTGCACATGCTCAGTTTCTCCCACCCACCTCCACAGGAAAGATAAACAACTAATTCAAAAACAGATGTTCCTTCATTTATTGAAATGAAGTATGAGTATTATTTTTTTCATTTTTCATAAGCTGTAGTTTAATGCATTGATTGGTGAACAGTCCAGTCTCGCCCAATGTCAGCTGGGTTCAGCTCCAGCCCCGGTGACCCCGAACAGGAAAAGCAGTATAAATGATGGATGGATGTAGTTTTAATGCTATCATAACCTTTAAACAAATTCATATATATGATTACTTTTTAATAAGGTTGGCATGAATCAAGTCAGTGTGTCTATAAGCACATGTTCTGTAGTGAGTTTTAAGGGGGCCTTTTAGCCTGTATTTGGACAGGACAGTGCCAGTGATGTAGAGTAGGAAATCAGGAGAGAGAGTGGGGAATGACTTGCAGGAAAAGAGCCACAGGTCGGACTTGATCCCGGGCCGCCCGCTTGGAGGACAACACCTCCGTATATGGAGCACGACCTAACCCCTGGGCCAACCGCACCAACAAAATGTTTATGATTTACTTGACTTAAAAGACAAATAAAAAAAAATACTTTAGATATTTTTAAAGAATACATTGCATCATGCATAATAAAGCCTACAGCAAAAATGATGAAGATTAAATCAACCCTGTTACATATTACTGTTGCATTTAATTGAAAGTAATATGAAAGATTCAGTCAGGGGAGGTCATTTCTAGAAAATACTTCCACTTTAATATTTTAATATTTTAAATTCACACTTCACAAAAATAAGAAGAAAAAAATATAGACGATAGGAGTCTGATAACTCCTGCAGCACGTGAAGGCAGCATCGAGCGTGTATGGATTCTCTTTCATCCAATTTGACATCAGAACGTGAACCCGCAGGGTCCTAGCACCTCCGGTTTACTTCTTCATTGACTTTGGCCTAAATATTCAACAGGTGGAAACACAAACCATTCTCACGCTGACATTTGAAGGTTTTTACAAGAAAAGAAGAGGAACTAAATGTTGTTAAATGAAGGACAATGTTTTGGAGTTATCAACATGCAGTAGAAGGAAATGACACACTGTGGATTCACACATAAAGTGTGCTCATGAGTGCTGAGTGGATCTAGTAATGAAATGTTTTCTCAAACAGAAAGTCATTTAGCAACATTTAAATGAAATAATGTATGTATTATGTGTAAGGTTGGCACCAGAAATAGTTGCAGCTTGGTTGTGGGGGCCATTAGGGGCCATGTGGTAAACTGGGTAAGATATAGGAGTCTGCGACGTCAGAGTTACCTGTCATGCCGTCCCGAGAAGTCGTGGGACTAGTAGGGCGAAACATGGCGCAGGGAGGTTCCCACTTGACCATCCCAATGATGTCCTGGCTCTTGCAGCCCATCGGAGTTGTGGGGGCCAAGATGGGCCATGTGGTAGGGTAGGTAGTATCAGAGTTGTCACTACCTGAAGCTTGGAGGTACAGAGTCTGGGTCTTTCAAAGTTGGCAATGCTGTTTTGGTTGCCGTGGCAACAAATGGCTATTATGGTACTTATCAGTAGGATATTGGAGCATGACTGGAGCAAGGGGTGTCTTCACTGAACAACAACAAAATAGGACAAAAATCCCCCAAAAATCAAAAGGATGCAAACAATCCCAGTATTACTCTTTAAAGACTCATTCAAGTCAAGATATCACCAGTTGTTGTGTTCAGTCTGTATTGATCTGACTTAGCTGACTTTTTTCTGGTTCAGAAAATCTGTTCTCCAGATCAATTTCTGTAATGTCTTATCCAATGAACTGGGTTTAAGATGTTTTCTGGCTCACATTATATAATCATTTTAATTATTAAGCCACCTACTTTCATGGCTTTGGTTGACCTCTCTGAATCTTGATTTTACTGACTGCATCTCATTGGTCATGGATACCACCAGTCGCTGAAAACACGTGTGTTGCCAACACACACACACACACACACACACACACACACACACACACACACAGCTCAAAATGATGAGTGTTGTGCATGTGTGTGTGTTTTGGTGTTTGTGTGTACGCTGTAGGCATATATGCTCGAGTGAATTCACATTTGATCATGCATGCGTTGATGTAAAGCTTGGTTGCCATGGATACCTGAGAGTGGATTCAGTGTGTCATGGTTCCCTGGTCCAATTATACAGGAAACATAGAAAACTGTCACATCATGTGAAAAAAGCTCCTGTGAGGAGTTTTTATATGAAACACTGAAATCAATGCTTCTTTATGACCTCAATAAAAAATCAAACCAGACAATCAGCAAGAAGACTGGTCATTTCTATAAAGTCATTTTGTATTCTCAGTAACACTGCCGTGGGGTAGGTGTCAGATCAATTGAGTTACGTCAGCCTAAAGAACAGCCGTTGTACACTTTTACACAGCAAGGATTCACAGTGAGTGAAATATTGACTGTTAAAAGGAAGCAGGATGAGATTTTTCAACAGGAAACATGCATTGCACATGTACAGGACAGGACTTGCACACAGACCTGATGTTTTGATTGGTCCACAGGGGGGCACCAAATTTGACGCGAACTAAAAGTTCCTCACAGAAACTTGAACTCAAAATCAAGCAGCAACCTCTGAGGTGGAAAAATGAAGCCAATGCTGAAGTGCAAAATTCTGCAGTTCATCAAGTGTCCGCTTAAGACCGGCTCCAAAAGCCCGGCAAGTCACATACACACCACATTCAAAAAAGATGTTTTTAAAGCCTAGTACTTAAAATGAAATTGGTCTGGTTGGCTCATGTCTCGATGGCACAAACTAAAAAGGGGGGTGAATTTTTTGATAACTCATCCGTTTAAAATTTTTTATGAAAGATATGTGTTATCCATAGTTAGGCGCGAGGTTGACCTGATTGACAGGCGGGTACGATGTAACGGTTTGTCAGGAGGCTTAGAAACCCGCCTCAGCTCCAGCTCTCAGCCTGTCGTTAGGTTGACTGAAAGTTTGGCTGAGACAGCATTTCCAGCATGGCGGCTGCTGCTGATGAGACTCCAGAACCTCCTGCAGGAATAGATGGATGACGTCACTCAGACTTCATCCATTAATATTTACAGTCTAAACAAGAGAGTTACTCAACCCGAGAAGAAATGTTTTAACCCAATAAGTTGAAATGAGAAGAGTCTAGAAATGTAAAGAGACACCACAACATACAGTATAATAGACCATTTTGACATCACAATGAAGAACACATTCTGTCAGGATCCATGAAGGTAGCATCCAGTTTCACCTGAGTTTAACAGTCATGACATGGAGGAGATCTTTCAGTCTCTATAATATATCTTTCAGTTGGGACCTGCAGAATTGTAAAGAAATGAGTGTTATGGGCTGCAGAGCCATCATCCCTGATTAGAAAGTAGTTCAATAAGTGTACGGCTAAGCTATTCACTGGAATAAAAGTGAATTAGTGCTTCTGATTAATAGCCTGAGTCTGCATTCTTGAAACCTTTGCCTTTTTAATTAACACATTCTTAATCTACCTGAAGCTGGATTTTGTTTTATAGAAACTCAAATCTCTTGCTGAAACTGAATTTCTTGGACATGCTGAACAAACAGAAAGCTCCTTGTATAGCCTTCCACATGATGCTGCCTTCACGTGCTGCATGATTTACATGCTGCTTTACAAATCCTGTTTACTGTTCTCTTTATGCAAAACACAAAACATAATGCTAATCTCTCAAAATCTGCATGAGCAAACAAACATCCTTACATCACTCATTTGAACCAGGGTGGCTGAGGCTACTTGAAGGCTCTCACCTTTAAGCTGTGTTGTTTTTCTTGTAGTGACTGGTCTGCTATCTCCACACTGTGATGGAAAATCAAATCCCTGTCAGTTTTAGAAACCTCCACCTCTCTGTAGCACAGCTCTGCTTGCAGCACATAACTCAGTCGTGACCTCAGTTCATAAAACTCCTTGAAGGTTTTAATCAAATGAAAACATTCATTGGGCTGCTTAATGTCCCCGCTCACATCTATACAGCTACAAACCAGCACTGGATGATTGACAGGAGGTGGAGGGGGGATTGAGCTGTAATGAAGAATTTCACATAAGTAGATGATAAATGTGGCTCCTTCCTTTAGCACAGATTCATCTTTCACTTTTTAGTTTTAACTTCTTTCCTCTCAGTGTACCCTACCATTCAGCCAGAGTCTCAACATCTGATATCTCACTTCTTCACAGTTTAGATGGCACCAGTTAAATTAGTCATCTCAAGGGACCAAGGCAGAAGAAACGTGTGTGTCAGTGTGAGAAAAACTGCAGGAGAAGAGACTCTCCAGTATGTAGAGCTGTTCAATCGATTCTAGATATAAAATGACTCAAACAAAATTAAGGTACAGCCCCATACGGTGTGGTGCGGTGCGTGCGTGCCGTGCCATGCCATGCGTGCGGTGCTATATAACATGAAACACTTTATTGTCTCCTTGGGGAAATGTGTCTTTGTATTGCACAGATTTAGCTGCATCTACTGTAGAAACAATATTTAATCAACATAATTAGTTCTCTCTGTTTCATCATCATTACAGTTGCTAACATTAATATTAAACTGATCAGTCTGTTATCAAACTTAGCTGTTACTGCTAATGCTTCACATACTTTGACCGTTATTACTTACATTGTAGCTATAACTCTTATTCATTGTTGTTGATGCTCTGTTTGTCTCTATCCTTCTTTCTTCCTAAAACAGTTCCTCAGATGTCTGTTCATCATGAGTCTGGTTCTGTTCGAGGTTTCTGCCTCTTAAAGGAAGTTTTTCATTACCTCTGCAACTTTGCTGAATGTTGCTTCGTGCTCATGATGGATTAACGCTGAGTCATGGTAGATAATAAAACAAAGAGGAAGGTCTTTCACCTGTTCTTTTGTAGTGTCTTGAGATAACATTTGTTTTGATTTGGCGCTATAAGATATCTTTATTGTCACTGTACAAGCACAACGAAATACTGTTGGAGCAAGCCTGTAGACGCCTCATAGAAAATATACAAATATACAAATACTAAACCAAATATACACATTATAAACCCAGTTAAATAAAGATTGATGGGTTGATTGATGGATTGATTGATAAAAGACATCACATTAGTCCTGCAAATGATACCACATTTTTCAGCAATTAAATTCTAAAGATCAACCTCATGAGTATGTGGAAGCTGTTAAGTTTATTGTAAAATGAAACATATCTGTATGATGAGTCATAAGCTCTGCTGCCAGGTTGTGTATGTATTCTGTGCAAACCTTATCATTCCTTAGCCTCCTCACCAAAGGAGCAATCAGCTGTTTTGCAAATAATGACTCAGTTTTGGGTTGAAAGTCCCCTTCTGAACTTTCTGATATACTGTGGGATTGTTGTGGTTTCTTCTGTTTGTATGGTTTTATATAGTAAGAAATAAATAACTGATGACTGAAATATTAAAAGATAAAGCAACCTTTGATGTAACTTAAAATCTAGTTTGCGTTAGTGTGACCTCTGTAGTATAAGCAGAGAAGTGCTTTATGTTGACCTTGTCCGGTTACACTCACTTCGACTTGTAAACAGACTACAAGCACACGCTTCCTCTCTCTCTCTCTCGAGCTGCTCCTCCTCCTCCTGGAATGAATGAGAGCATTATAACCCCTCCCTCCTCTTCCTGCTTTCCAACACAGCCGGTCCCCGTCACAGCCTGTCCCATGCGGTCAAGATATTTCCTGCTTCCTGCCCTCTTCACAGATCTACCAGTTTACAGATAGCTGCAACGTGTAGAAAAAGCGAGGCCTCATTCGCTGCAGATCTGCAAGCAGACATGAGCACAGGGAACTAAACTTTGGCCTGGAAGACTTCCCACTTTTCATGTGAATGAGTAAGTGAAACTATTTCATAGTGGCCGTCTGTTTTTTTCCGAGGGGTAAATGGCGCAGCAGCAAAACCTGATGGATCCGAAAAAACTTTGTTGCTCGGTTTGTTTGGATCTTCTGAAGGATCCGGTGACTATTCCCTGTGGGCACAGCTACTGCATGAACTGTATCAAGAGCCACTGGGATGAAGAGGAGCAGAAGAATGTTTACAGCTGCCCTCAGTGCCGGAAGAGCGTCTCGCCGAGGCCTGTCCTGGTGAAAAACACCATGTTGGCAGATTTAGTGGAGGAAATGAAGAAGACTGGACTTCAAGCTGTTTCCACTGATGACTGCTATGCTGGATCTGAAGACGTGGCCTGTGATTTCTGCACCGAGAGAAAACTGAAGGCTCTAAAGTCCTGTCTACAGTGTCTGGTTTCTTATTGTGAGCAACACCTCCAGCCTCACTATGAGTCCCCGGCCTTTGACAAACACAAGCTGGTCGACCCCTCCAAGAAGCTGCAGGAGAACATCTGTACTCTTCATGGTGAAGTTAAGAAGATTTTCTGCCGCAGTGATCATCAGTGTATCTGTATTCTCTGCTCTATGACCGAACATAAAGATCACAACACAGTCTTAGCCCTAACAGAGCGGACTGAGAGGCAGGGAGAACTGGGAACAAATCGGCAAAGGATCCAGCAGAGAATCCAGGGCAGAGAGAAAGATGTGAACGTGCTTCAGGAGAGACTGGAGGCACTCAACCTCTCTGCTGATACAGCTGTGAAGTACAGCGACAAGCTCTTCACTCAGTTGGTGCGACTTGTGAAGAATAGAAGCTCTGAGGTGAGGCAGGAGATCAGAGCTCGGCAGAAAGCTGAAGTGAGTTTGGCCAAAGAGCTGAAGGAGAAGCTTGACGCGGAGCTCATGGAACTGAGGCGGAAAGACGCCGAACTGGAGCGGCTCACACACACAGAGGATCACACCCGCTTTCTACAGAATTACCCTTCACTGTCATGTCTCAGTAAATCTACAGACTCGTCCAGCATCAACATCTGCCCTCTGCAGTACTTTGAGGATGCGATGACCGTCGTGTCAGAGGTCAGAGATAAACTACAGGGCGTTCTGAGCAACTCATTGACCAAGATCTCACAGGCAGCGAGACCGCCAGTGGATGGTTTGCTGCCACAACCAGAGCCGAAAAGCAGAGCTGAGTTATTACAGTTCTCTTGCGAAACCACACTGGATCCAGACACAGCAAACACACAGCTGTTAGTGTCTGAAGGAGACAGAAAAGCAACAGTAACCAGTGAGAAACAGGCGTATTCCAGTCATCCCGACAGATTTACTGACATGTTTCAGGCGGTGAGCAGAGAGAGTCTGAGCGGACGCCACTACTGGGAGGTGGAGAGAAGCAGGTTTGAGGTTTCGGTCGCAGTGACGTACAAGGACATCAGCAGAACGGGATATGAAAGTGGATTTGGAAATGATGACAAGTCATGGGCGCTAGAGTGTTTCAATAACAGTTATCAATTCAGACACAACAGCACCAGCACCTTTATCTCAGGCCCTCAGTCTTCCAGAGTAGGAGTGTACCTGGATCACAGTGCAGGTGTTCTGTGCTTCTACAACGTCTCTGAAAACATGACTCTGCTCCACAGGGTCCAGACCACGTTCACTCAGCCGCTCCATCAGGGACTTGGGGTTTTTGCTACAGACAGTAAAGGATCTGCTGCTGAGCTCTGTAAGATGGGGTGAATAGACATGAAGAAGCAGTCAGTGAGGCAGTGAGCCTGGAGAAGCTTTACAAACATTCAGGTTGCTAATTGTGATTTGGTACATTGAATTAAATTTGCATTCGATTTAAGAACAGGTATTTCTTTTTGATACGATATAGCATCATTTTCTTCGCTCTTTCTCTATAATTTTTGCAAATGAAATGTGGCATACGTTATGCTTGATTCCAGTATATTATGAAGGAAAAAAACATGCATTTGATCTATTCCAATTTATAACTCATGTAGAAGTACAGACACACGTGTTAAAAAAATGGACTCTGGTGAAGTTAGAGGTGCTGATGCTTCATGCGTGCTGAAGTAAAAGTGGGAAAAGCACAGGTTGTTTACATCTGATTTAAATGATTTGAATCTGTAAGAGTATTTTTCCAATTTCATTTGAATATTTGCACTTTAGTGTTTAATGAAGGTACATGTCTGTGGTTGTGTTTTAAAGTAAGGATTATTGTGTACATTTCTCTATCAAATCTTTTTTCAAATAAACTTCATATTAATCTCCCTTCACCATGTGGTTTCCTGTTGACTGTATTGTGAATAAAAAACACTGGCAAATGAATTGGCAGCAGGAAACTCGTGAGTTTAACTGTTGCAGTTTACTTGAGGATTTAATGGCGAGCATTTAACATGAAAGGTAGCACTGTATTTACTTTAAGTTTCTACTACCCTGCATTCTTATTCCAATATATTTATTTAAAACTGTGTCTGATCTGTCATCTGTAGATATAACATACAATCATTATTAATATTATTATTATTATTATTAATGAGCTATTTATAGGAGTTTTATTTGTATAGAATGAATCCACTGCCTCACAAAAATTATTCTTGTCGGGTTAATATTTGATGAAGAGAATGTATACATTTAAATAATCTAAATTGAAGACATTTCAAGCAATTAAAGAAAATAGCACGATGGGTTACATTTTCATGAATTATATTTCTTTGTTAGACTTCATTATAGCACAGCTTTTAATACTTAAAAATGCTAAATTAAATATTATTGTTCTATTATGTTTTATTAAATATGAATTTGTAGTTTGAATTGATGATTTATTCTGTACTAGCAGTTGTTTCTTTGCTCTTTTATGATTTGTTATTTTGAGATATGAAATAACAGTTTATAAATGCAATAAATCAATCGCTAATTAACATTTTTAACATTAGTTAGACTCATTAAATATTCATAACCGGGATTTTCTATCCGATAAATTGGTTGTGGTGTGATACAAAGATAGTCTTTTCATATATTCTACAGTTACTTATTTTTGTTTTGTTTCATAATATATATATATATATATTGTATATATTTACTGTACATTTATATAGTATGGTGATTATTCCATTTCGGTTTTTGAACCTTCTCTGATGAAAGCGTGAAGCGGAACCTTCCGTCGGTGAAAAAGCCGGACTACAGCACCACGGAATGTTTTGGTGCGGCACTCAGAACGCGGAAGCGAAGCGCCGCTCCTGTGTTTATGTTTTCGTCCTCTCACAGATCGAGTTTAAAAGTGAAGTCTTAGAGCAACATGGCGGTGAGTGCCGTTCACCTGGAGTCCGACGCCTTCCTGGTGTGTATGAATCACGCTCTGAGCACAGAGAAAGAAGAGGTGATGGGTTTGTGTATCGGAGAGGTGGAGGTGACCCGCATCGTCCACATCTACTCGGTCATCATCCTCCGCCGCTCGGACAAGAGGAAGGACCGGGTGGAGATCTCCCCCGAGCAGCTGTCGGCGGCTTCAACGGAGGCGGAGCGGCTGGCCGACATCACCGGCAGACCGATGCGGGTGGTGGGCTGGTACCACTCCCATCCGCACATCACCGTGTGGCCGTCCCACGTCGACGTCAGGACCCAGGCCATGTACCAGATGCTGGACCAGTGCTTCGTGGGCCTTATCTTCTCCTGCTTCATCGAGGATAAAAACACCAAAACTGGTCGCGTGCTCTACACCTGCTTCCAGTCCGTGCAGGCGCAGAAGGGCTCCGAGTACGAGCGCGTGGAGATCCCGATCCACGTCGTGCCTCGTGAAGCCATCGGTAAAGTGTGCCTGGAGTCTGCCGTGGAGCTGCCCCGGATCCTGTGCCAGGAGGAGCAGGACACCTACCGCAAGATCCACAGCCTGGCCCACCTGGACCCCGTTACAAAGATCCACAACGGCTCGGTGTTCACCAAGAACCTGTGCAGCCAGATGTCTGCGGTGAGCGGGCCGCTGCTGCAGTGGCTGGAGGACCGGCAGGAGCAGAACAAGCAGAGCATCGTGGAGCTGCAGCGGGAGAAGGAGAGGCTGCTGCAGGAGCTGGCTGCTATGTGAGCCCGGAGGAGGGGAGCACAGAACCCCTTTTTCATCTTTCTGTGTTGGTGGACAGAAGTAAAGGACCCTCTGTGTCCATTGTAAAACTCTTTTTACCTGAAACTCTCCAAAATATTCAGTATCAGTAGGTGATACGATATATTATTGTATATTATAAAACCATATTCTTGATTAAATATGTCCTTGACATATAGGCCTACTTTAGCTGGACTTAATATATTTGGACTAAGGTTTTGTACAGCTGTGCTGTGTGAAGACAAGATTCACTTAAGGATTACTTCTGGCTATGAATCTGCCAATTATTTTCTCAATAAAGCATTTTGGTCTATTAACTGCATGGTTCCAGATAATGTATCTGTTTATTCATGTAGTTATAATTACAGCGTTGTTCCCTCAAGCTTAACCAAAAACAGCCTGGTCAACTCTGTAGTTCCATTACTCTTCTCTGATCAATACTTCCAGATTTAGATACTAACGCGTCAAATCTTCATTGTTTTTTTTTCTTATTATGAGACCCGGCCTTTTTTTTGTGGTTTGAGAATTGAGGTTCATTTTGTCAAATAGAAAAGCAAGAACAACTCTGACACTCCTGTAACTTAAGAATCAGAAGTTACTAATTAATAATAATAATAATGTATACTTTATTGATCCTGTGAGGGGAAATTCGTTTTTCAGTAATGATTCAACTTTGTCAAATTCTGATATCTGTAGTTTAACAAATTCCCGTGACGTTTAACTGAAACCAGGATGCTTTCTGAAGTGTGAGTGGTGTTGATTGATCAGAGTGCACTGTGTCCCATGGGCGCATATGTCATGTCTCTGTTTTACCAGCAGGTGTCCCCCTTGGCTTAGATCTCCACCTTTATAACATGTTTTATGTGCCAATCTCTGTTGACACCTGTTTTGTTTCTCCTGAAACTCGTTATTTTAATAATGAACTTTTGAGTCTCAGCTTTCTTCATTTTCTTTCTAGTGAAAGAAAAACCCTGAAGTTTTTTACAGACATTAAACTGTGACCTGAAACACACCATGAACCCACCCGCCTGCAACTCAGAGCATCTACACCCTGAATACTGTTTAACGACCTCACTGTTATATTAACTGGTGAGTCATGCAGGTGACATGAATGGGAAATAGCACAAGAGACCAAAGTCATATTTTCTCCATATTGTACATATTTAATTAATTAATCCGTAAAGCTTCAACATGGGGCTCTGTAGGGATTTACTGGTTTGTGGAGCTAGCCTTAAGTAGCAACTTGAGGAACTTCAATTGTTAGCACTTCCCTTGTATTCAATATTCAACCAGAGATTGCCAGTTGGTCAAGACGTTTAATTTAAAAACAAGAAAATATACAAATCCTGATAACTCTACTTTGATTTTCTTTTCAATCATCTGAGGATAATGTGAGAGGAAACGTCATCAGGGTTAACAAGTAACACAAGGTTTTAAAATCCCAAAGCACAGCAGACGACTTTTATTAATGACTAAATCAAACCCTTTGATTGCATTTGGTATTATATTTTCAATAATCACAGCATTCAACTAAATGAATCACCGTTTTTAATCTTGAGAATAACCATTTGTAGCAGCGTGCTATCAAGTGATCTCAGTGTCTGTGTATGCTTCTTTTGACCTCTGACCTCAGTTAAACTGCCCCTGTGGTGGTGCGGTCTGTGGGGATGGGGAAGGGGTCAATAGAGGGTAGTGGGTGTTGTCCAGGGGGCAGGACGTGGCCTCCTTGATGGGACAGGAGGAAAATCTCCCTGCTGAAGGCCTCAGCCTGCTGACATTGTGTTTTCACCAAGTCCCTGAGCCATTGAATGTCCTCCTGGAGCACACGCCTCCGGTAGTCCTGGAACTGTCTGCCCTGTATGCACACAGATATATCTGTAAAGCCATGCAGGGTACATATAGACAAAACTCCACACATATACTATGTCTCAAAAATTGTGTTGGCCTCCCTCTGAGGGAGAGACCAGCGTGTGTTTACTGATCTATCTGACATCACGTTGGTCTGTTTACTGCTTTAAAAAGGAGGAAGGAGAGGATAACTGAGGGAAAAAATACTGCAGGCCATAACAGACAAATCTACTAAACAGAAGATAACACATGAGAGGAACGTGTTATTATGGGATACAGTGGTGTGATAAGTGATGCTGCTCTGATTCATGCAGACCTGTTCACTTGGTCTCACTTCACCATCAGTGGAAATGTTTCCTTGAATGTCAGTAATGAAAGCTAGGTGAACATTTTAATAAGGCCTTAGAGTGAACTATTGCTGTGAACAGAGCTCTAACTGTAGAGAGACTATTCATTTAACTGAATAAAGAAATCATTTTTAAATCAATAACCTATTTTCCATAGCTATATTATTATACATTGATTTATTAAGAAAGCAGCCGTGTAATAAGCGGGATCATTTAAAGTGAGCGGGTTGTTATCGCAGAGGAACCTCTTCACGGTGAGACTTTGAAATATTTTGTGTTTTTTTTGGATCTGACTGACAAATAAGTTAAATGACTGGGGGAAGCAGAACAACAGGAAACATCAATATGTTATTTGTTTCACTAGAGCCTTTGTAGCTTTTTTCCAACCAACACTATCAAATATTTGTCTATTTTTTAATTGATGGTCGCACATTTAAGTCAAATTTTAAAAAATATTTACCATTTTCTTCTGCCTTGTGTTGAGTTTATTCTCCAGTTCGTTCTTCTGGTTAAAGAGGCTCGTCATGCTGCGGAGACGGACTGTGTCACACCTGGTCACCTCCATGAGAGCCTCACGCGCCTCCTCTACCTTCACCTGAAAGCCACACACACACACACACACACACACACAAATCCAGAAATGATCAATAAGCTAACTTTTATTTACCGCCTGTTTTTAAAAGATAGTACTGGGTTTAAAGACGCTCATACAAGACAAAGACTGAGATATACATCACACACTTGCTTCAGTGCACTCAGACACACATAAAAACCCACACATACACAAAGAACTGAGCTTACATCCCACTCCTTGATTTCCTTTGCATATGCAGCTTCCTTGAGGAGTTTCTCCTGCTTTAGCTCCTCCAGGATTCTGCTCCCTGACAAAGTCTGCATTACCTCCAGATTCACCAGCTGCCCGTACTTCATCATCATCACCTGGTTGCAGTGCTCCTCCAGCTCTGTAACACAACATTCACACACACACACACACACACACACGCAAACACACACACGTCAATATTTACAAGTTTGCCCCACTAACGAGGAATTTTCCTCTTTTAGGATACCTGTGACATTTTTTTTTAATTCCTTTGCTATGTTCGTTTTTTTACTCTGAATTATTTAAGTTGAATTCGTATCGTATAGATCATCAGAGTTTCATGTTGAGCTTGAAAGGAAGCCTCACCCTGAATCTTGGTGTTCATGTCCTTGCGGTCATGAAGGAGTCTGACGTGCTGCTGGCGGGTTGCACAGTTCAGATCTTTCTGTTGGCTCTTCTCCACCTGCAGCTGCTTGATTCGCTCCTGCAGCCTGTTCAGCTCCGTCCTGTCCAGAACCAGCGCTGGGCTGAGGTCAGACGGCAACGAGCCGTTAGTGAGAAACTCAATCTGGTGGAATGTGAAGGGTGGAGAGAGGGAGTGGATGGGGTGATTAAATGAGTGACTCTCTAAAGGCATGATATTTTGAAAAAAATAAGATATTTGAACGAAGCTATTGGAACCCATCAGCTGCTCTCTTAATAGGATGAGGACTTTGGTTTCAGCAGCCAGTGTTTATATAGTCAGTGGATCACTGATGCTGGATACCCAGACCAAGATTTATAGAATTCAGTGCTCATTGTTTGCAGTCCAACTAGCACATTTTGGAGATGGAAATGAGAGGAAACATGACTTATAAAAATCATTATATGAATATGCAAACAACTGTCTATACAAAACTAATCATAGGAAAAGATAGCCAATGGCTTTTAACATTGCATTATGGCCAAAGTGTTCTGCTTCATTTGCAATCAAAGCCAGCTCAAACACAGCTCGCTATTTCTGCAGGAACACGTGTAGAAAAACATTGAGGGAACAAAATGCACATCACTGTAGTAGAGCTTTATAACGTCCAAAGTGACATAGAAAAATAATGCTGTCAATTTAAATATGGCTCTTTATCAAAAGTTTAACCTAAATGTCCAATTTGTCTGTTGTAATGTCACCGTGTCCCTCGAGTGTTTACCTGGTTCAGTCTGAGAGGAACCACCATGTCCAGTTCATTCATTTTCTGCTGTTTTTCTCTGTAGACTAACTCCAAGTCTTCCTCTGCTGCCTTGCGACTGCTCTTCATAGATTTCTCCTGCAAGGCCGAGCACACAAAGACACACTCACACATGTGAGTGATAGAAGAATGCACACTAACAGAAACATGTCAGAGATAGAAAGATGAAGATCATGACCTTCTTGACGAGGGTGTCACACTCCCGCCTCAGAGCTTCTGCACTTTTCTTCTCCTCCACCACGAGTTCCTCCAGGTCCAGCCGGCGCTCCCGCAGCTGCAGAGTGTTCTCAAACAGCTCTGGCTCACAGCCTGAGAGACACACACACACAGGTTTACACTTCAAGTCAAAGTTAAAGATTATTGAACTTGGAGCATTGTGCGACACCTCTAAATGCTTCATTTCTAAACACTAGTGCCTTCAGTCTTGAGTCTTGAAAGCGTGACTAGCTCTAGAGCTTTTGAATTACATTTGTTCAACTTTAGCTCTGCATCTTTTTTTTCACCTTTTCACCACATTTCTAACCTCTACAATGAGAACCCCCTGCACAACAGGGACAAGCAAGAGAACAAATCAACATTTTTAAGCTGTTGCATTTTTGAGGACTGTAGTCCAGCAGATAGAATGACAATGTTGGACTAAAAACACATGCAGGATATTTTTCTGCCATGTTCGTTTTGTTTGACAGTCAGTTTAAACCATAGACTGTTTAAGATATGTTGACATGACCTCTTGGTTTCAAAAAATTAAAAGTAACTTAACCTGCTCTTTCTAATGGCCAGCCTACTTCACTGGTGGCAAAAATAATTTCAGTCATTCAGAAGTCCATAAGATAATGAACCCACTTCACTTGATTTATCACCTCAGTAACATTTCCAGAGATGTTTATGGTCTGAAAACAATACTTTCAAGTCTTCTTCATACCGCACAGAGTTCTTTTTGTAAGACAATACATATCCAAATCTTTCAAATATGGTCATAAATATGTACACAACAAGAAGCCAGTTGCCAAATTGTCAAAGATTGAGGCTTCAGAATGGTTATCCCTGAACCACTATGTGACTGATAAACAACCTTTGTGTAGAATCAGACTTTTTGTTCCTCAATAAGAAGTTCAGATTTCACTGTGGAAGAGAGAGAGATTGAATATGTTCCACTGTTAAACTTACCTGGAGGGCAAACACTGCTGTCCACAGCCCCTTCCTCCTCTGAGCTGCTATCATCATCGTCATCGTCAGAATCTTCATCTGAGTCTTCATCTGAGTCGTCATCACTTTCCTCCTCTTCTTCTGGGAACACATTTGGATCAGAATTGAAAGTGGATACACACATGCACATCATATTGTCATACATTCATACAGTTATGGCTCGTCCTCTCACCTTCTTCCGCTGGCTCCTTCTTCTTTACACGTTTGATTTTCTTCTTGAAGACTTTGGTGAGAAACTCTTCAAACTTGTTCTCCAGGCCCAGCGAGGCCTGGAAGGCCGAGAACAGAGCCTTCTCTCGTTCCCGCAGCCGGGCGATGTCTGCCCGCTTCAGTGTCAGCTGCTCGTTAAACTCTTCCAGCATAGACTGAAGGGAAAGAGAGGGGAGGATGGAACCAAGGATGTGAAGATTTATAAATATTGATTGTTCTTTTTGTACAAACAGCTAAACAAAGATGTAATCAAAACTCCCTTCAGGCATCACTGAGATTCACAGACAGGTTTACAAAATGTGGACGTAAGAAGGACCTCTGAGAATGCCTGTAATGAAAGTGTGTCAGTACCTTTGACCATTGAAATGTAATCAATTAATCCTTGAGCCTAACTAGACCTTTGTGACAAATTCTGAAGATTTAGAAAAAGCAGTTAGTAAGTGAGACTGAACATCAGTCAGTAATGGATGGACGAACATGACCCAGATACATAAAACTCTGTCCCACCGTGATGTTGTTCTCCTCCTTGATGCGAGCGTTCAGTTTCTCCTGCAGGCTGTCCTCCCTCTCTTCAAACTCCTTGACTAGCAGCAGCTCCTGGTACAGTGTCAGCTGCCGGAGGTCGGCCATCTTCAGGTGCATGTCCAGACGGAGCTTCTGGTGACGCAGCAGCTGGAGCTCAGCATCAAACTGACACACTGAACTCTCCATCTGGTTGAAAAAAAACACACAAGTGATGCAAGTTATAAAGCAGCTATTTGTTTATGATTAAACATTGTATCACTAGCATTTAATTTAACACACAGTCAAAAAAAATAAACACTTGACCTCCTCCAGTAGAGAGTCCTGCTCGTGCAAAAGTCTGATCTCCTCCTCCCTCTGGAGCTCCTCTTCCAGCTCACTCAGCTCTGCTCCTTCGTCCCCTGCTGTCTCCTCTTCTTCTCCGGTTACTGAAGAAGCTGACAGGCTGGGTGTCCTTTCCTCTCCATTCTTTTCATTTTCTTCCACTTTTTCCAGCTGATCCAATAGACTTGTGGCATCGTCCTGCTCCATGGTCTGCAGCCTGTTAGAATATTTATATCATCTCTGAGACCGAGGCTTTAGATGTGAATGGCAGATAAATAAATCAGTGATTTTAATGCTTATATTTACAGTATTTAAAGTGCAGCTAACAGCACAGAGAAAGTTGTAAAAGCATCTGAACACAAAGAATCAAGGAGAAACCTTTTTAATGGGATAAAGCAATATGTTGCATCCCTCTCCAGTCTTGATGCTTTTTTGCAAACAGTTGCTTGAAACCAGCACACCTCATGAGGACTTTTCTTCTGTTGCAGCATTGTCATTTATCTCTTAAATAGGCTTTTTCTACCAAAAATAACATGTATGAAAATGAGTTGGATTTGTAGGAGGATCAAAAGCTTTGACCAAATGGTGCAAAACTTGAAATCATCACTCCTTCTTATTTTGTATTCAATTAGTTATCTAAATTGATTTTTCTACAAAGATGGGATGAAAGAAAAGTTCTGAATCTAATGTGACTGCTGTTGGGAAGACTGAGTTGGACATTTTGACAGTTTTTCTGAACCACAGATGCATAGAATTTCAAATTGTTGAAATATGACTGTAACGTTCATACTGGTTCTTGAAAATCCCCAAAAGAATCATTTCACATTGAAATAGAAGAAGGTCTTTCTCTACATCAGAGACTCTAGATGAAACCTGATGATACTGAAACATGGCTACCTTACCTCTGATCCCTCAGAACACGGTATCGCTCCAGTGTGGCGTGGCTGTACTGCAGCCTCTTCTCTGGGGTTTCCTCTGGTAAGATGTAGGGGAGAGTGGGAGGAGGGCGGTGGAGATGGGCTGGCAGACGCTGATGGATCTTCTTCACCTGCTCAGCCTGAGCACGCAGCCGAGACAGGAGGCCAACCTTTGAGTCCCTCAAAGCCACGATCCGTCTGTTCATCTCAATCTGCTTCTGACGGATCTGATGGAACGGAAACATTCATTTAATTCATCTGTGAGTCCCATTATTGCTGAATCTGTTGATCTTTTTTTCATTTGTGTAAGTATTTTCACTTCAAACTTTTTGTGATAAATGAGGATCACAAAGTCCACAGACCGTAAGATTCTTGTTGGAATGTCATACTAAGTTTTCATTTATCTAAACTGAGGTTAGAATTACATCCTCATATTAGCAAGGCTTCTACCAGAACATGTTTTGTGGCAGTTCTTGCACACACAAAAAAAGCCGAAAAGAAAAAGAAGAAAAAAAGCTAAAAAATCACTAAAACATTATAAAATGTGCTAATAAAATACAAAACAAATTAATACTATTTTGGTGGACAAATAATGGATTAATCAAACTATGGGGAATAAGAACTACATCTTTACCATTAGGTCTGACCTCTTTTCCATTTTTATAGACGCTGTTGCTGTAACCAACAACTATTTTAAATGATTTAATTCTGTCATGATTTAGAGTCAGTCACATGACAATCATCTTTTGACCCCAAGGTGGAAAATCTATTTACCTCCTATCTCCTGATGAGAAGTCAAATAAAACCTTTTTGTACTGAGTGATGATTATTGTGTGTGTGTGTGTGTGTGTGTGTGTGTGTGTGTGTGTGTGTGTGTGTGTGTGTGTGTGTGTGTGTGTGTGTGTGTGTGTGTGTGTGTGTGTGTGTGTGTACGTTGTCTTCCAGGCCCAACAGCTCCGCTCTCTTCCTCTCAGCGTTCATCCTCAGGTGTTTGGGCACCGTGAAGTCTTTGTCTGACTTCAGCTTTAAGTCTCCGATGGTCTCTTTGGCTTTCTTGATGGCGTGCACGTCTTGCGGGTCCTCACAGTTCTCGTCTGGTTTCTCTGCATACCTGAAACACAGATAAAATATCAAAGCTTTGAAGCAGCATGTAATAGCGACAGCAGAGGCTAACAACTATTTTTAACCTTATAAACCTCTAAACCTGGCGATGCATTTTTACATTATTTTGATTTAAAGAAACAACCAAAAATAACAGTGGCAAATTTCTTAACAATTAAAATTTTAGCCCCGATGCCCTGGATTATGTTTCTGGATCTGACACTCACAGTTTCGCCCATTCCTGCCTCCTCTTCTCGATCTTGGCTCGAGCCTGTTCAGCTTTCTCTGCAGCCTTCCGGAGCCTCTCCACCTGTCGATCTGCCAGCTTTACGCCTGCTGGGCGAGACTTGGGGGCATGCAGGATCTCCTCCTCTGGAGAACATAAACAGATTTAGGTCACTTATGTCCACTTCTGTGGACAAAAGAAAGAAACAACACTAACACTTCACTACCTTCTAATATGCTGCCGCTCTTTGCAGGCTCCGCTTTGGATTTTCTGCGTCCTTGTACAGTGGTCTGTTCTTCCTCGGGCCTGCTGGCTCTGCTCTGGTGTACATGTTGGGCTGATGTCTTTGTGAGCCGGTAGGTGGAGACTCTGTGCTCGCTGCAGATGGCGACCACAGTGACCATGTTGGACTCCAGAGAGTTCCTGAACCTGAAAGCAAAATGGTAAATAGATTTGAGCTTGTGTAGCATTTCCTGGTCTTGTGATTACTAAAGCGCTTTTACACCACAGGTCACACCTACACATTCACACACTGATGGTAGAGGCTGCTGTGTGTGTGTGTGTGTGTGTGTGTGTGTGTGTGTGTGTGTGTGTGTGTGTGTGTGTGTGTGTGTGTGTGTGTGTGTGTGTGTGTGTGTATTTAGTACCAGTCTTGTAGTTTGCTGAGTGCTCTGCTGCAGCGCTCCTCCTCCCAGCTCATCTGCTTCCTGACCTCCCTCACCCGCTGAGCCTTCACCCTCTCTGCCTGCTCAGTGAACCGCCGGTCCAGCTCCAGCTCCTACACACACAAAATCACACCCACAAAATCACACCCACAAAATCACACCCACAAAATCACACCCAGCCGCTCAACAGAAGATATTTCATTTCAGTGAGGAGAGTGTGTGTCAATGTGTGTCTGGTTGTCTCTGTTTCCGCGCTGTACCCCAGGTTTCAGGTGAACGTGCTCCGGCAGACTCTGGTTGTTGTTCAGCAGCAGTTTAAATTCCTTCTGGAGCTCAGCGAGCTTCTTCCGCTTCACTGCGATCTTCAGCTCGGCCTCCCGACGCAGACGGTCCTTCTCCAGCTTCTGCTTAGCTGTCTCAATGCTGAACGAGAGAGAGAGGCGGGATAAAATGTATTCTTTAAAAGCTACATTTACAAGAATTAATTTTCTCAGAAAGAGAAACTGGTAACAAGAAAAATGACAGATGTACTAAAGGCAAAGACAGAGTGATCACCTGTAGGCTGCTGGGTCCTCGATGTCCTGAGCTAACAACTCATTTTCAAGACCCCTCTGTTCAAATAAAGAGTGAACCAGATATAAAATTTTAATAGATTTGGCATGTATTCCTTTATCCTTAATGTACTTACTTAATAATGCACTTATTTCATTACATACCTACTTACTTACTTATGTACTCACTTTCTTACTTTAAAAGACAAACAGAAATGAAAAAGAAAGAGCATAAAATACATTTCTACTGACCCTGGGTGAAGGAACCTTGGCCCTCTTTCTCTGCAGCTCTTTCTGGAGCTCCTCTGGAGGGAGAAGACTGAAGGAGAAGATGTTTCCATCATCTCCTGCTGTCAGCACAAAGCGGTCGTCATGGCTACAGCAGATGTGCCGCAGATGTCCGTACTGGTTGTCGTGGCTGCTGAGCGTCCAGTAGGCGTGCATGGAGGTGAGGGTGTGGTCGCCGGGCTGCAGGAGGTAAATCCTGATGAAGCCTGAGTGCATGCCGCAGAGCAGCAGCTGCCTGTCAGAGCTAAAAAGAAAAAAGAAAAGACAACATCTTTACACAGATGAAAGTATTGTGCTTCCACACGTGATGATGTTTATCTCATTAAGAAGTGTCTTGGGTTGTGGTCCTGTGTCTCCCTCAGACAAATCTAAGCTTTTCTTGTCCAGCCATGTTTGCTTATTGCAAATATGAGATTCTGTCTTTGTTAAAATGATGCCCCCACTTTAGAGTTTACAAAGACAAGAGATCCCATGCAGTATTCTAAAAGCATTGGTGTATAAACCCTCCTTACCTGAAGGTGATGGAACAAATGGGGTCTTTATCTGCATTGTGGACTGGCCGAAAGTCAAAGGGTTCATCCTGACGCTGGTCCGGCTCCTGGTCCTGGTCCTCCGAGAACTTACAGTGATACAAGAAACCTGCGTCGAAGCCTCCCTGCAAGAGAGAGAAAAACAACAGATTCAAACTTTGAGGGAAGCATTTGTCTCTTTCTGTAACTTCTGTGATAGAGTATGATTATAAATATGATTATTTTACGTCATCTATTAAAGCGTCAACATCTCATGCTCCACAATATCCAGCTCAGCATAAGCTACGACTTCATTCACAGCATCTCTCACACAAACAACGGCACATTCACAGGCAGCTGTTGCCAAATGATGCTTCTTTTACTGCACCATCTTCTTTAATCCTTCCTGTACATTTTTAACCATGAGCATGATGGGACATTATCTCAATACTAATCCATGTTTAGTCTCCTGAATATTGAGCTCAATGATAGCCTTTTTACCATTTTTTGGGGGCCTTTATTGGAGAGATAGGACTGCAGATAGAGCTGGAAATCCGGGACAGAGAGTGGGGAAAGTCATGCGGGAAAGGAGCCACAGGTCAGATTAGAATCTGGGCCGCTCGCTTAGAGGACAATAAACTCTGTACATGGAATGTGTGCACTAACCACTAGGCCCCCAAATATAGCTGTTTTTGTGTGTTAAATCTTATAAAATTCTAATGAGAGATTTTTAGACATAAACTCCTACTTTAAGTATTTCCAAAGTATTCTAGTGTACTAAAAAATTAAATATTACAGTCATTTGCTTATAATTGCCAAACAACACAAAAACCATCATGATGAGTTGATTGAAGCTGTCATCTAGTTAGTATAAAATGAAATACCCAAGAGGTAATTTCAGTATCTTTGGTGATAAGAAGGTTTGGATATTCAGTTCAGGAGTAATTAAATACACTCTTCTGACTTTCATGATATATTGTGCATTGAAATGAAATACAAACTCTGTGACAGCGTGTGTCTGCAGGAGTGTTTTGTGTGTGTTTGTACCATGGAGATCCAGAACTGTCCTGGCAGAGAGTAGAAGCCACAGCAGAGAGGACTTGGAGGGTCGGGGATGTAGATAGGAGGTAACTCTTCTTCTTCCTCTAGCTCTGATTCTGGCTGCTTGGATTCCTTCAACCTCTTTTCCCTCTCTTTCCTCTTCTTCTCTTTCACTTCTTGACGTCTTGCAATTTCCTCCTCTCTCTGAAACCGAAAACACCCAAAAAACATCAAAACCCAAATCAGTTAGATACATAAATAAAATCCTTACATAAACCACCTCCAACTAACTTTAAAAGCTTTTTCAATCAAGTGTAAAGTGTCAGGAAATTAAAGAAATGGCTGTGACTATGAAACCCTTCTAACTTCTGATAAGTAAGATCTTGTTCAGACCTTGATGCGAGATTTGATGCTCCTGAACCTGAACACTTTGCTGGGCAGTTCAGGCAGCTGGAAGGTTTTGGTCGGCTTCTGTGCTTCTGGATCGGGACTCTGCACCTCGACAACATGACCGCTCTGACACAGGATGAGCAGCCTGTTTTCACTCTGTGTTTTAAAATAGTTAAGAGAAAGAGATGGATCACTAATCTCCTGTCACTTGATCATTACAGTTAATGTGAGTTGGAGGATCCATACTGACGTGGGAGTGAGGCGACCACTCCAGCGTCTGTACCGGCCCGGGAACATGGATGAAGCCGATAGGTTTGTACTTCTCCCCGACAGTGAAGAAAAACACGGTTCTGTCTGAGCTCTGAGGAAGAAGGTGGTGGTGAGAGGTCAGGCATGTAAATAAATGAAAAAAGGGAAAAGCTATATAGTCATTAAGAGTTTACAGAAACTTATTGGTTCACTTTTCACATGATAGGCTGCGGAGGAAGCTGGCACATGCAATAAATTAAGAGAAAAACAAAAGATCTGCCTGAGGAAACGTTACCCTTTTGGAATTTAATGCCAAATAGGAGCTGGAAAGTGTGCAGACCTTTTTCTGTTTTTAGGTGCCAAAAAGAAAATAAACATAAAGGGTAAAGACACAGCAATGAATTCACACACATTTTCTGGTTTTGGAACTAACTTTGAACTGCAGAGCTCAAAACACTTATTCTAATCCCAGCTCATCACATACTGACTCTTTAGAAACTGCCGGTTTTTAATCTGTTTAAAGGTTGTGTTTTAAGGTCTGTCTCTTCCGCGTTATTAAACACAGCGGATGGTGTGAAGTTTGAAGTCCGATCCTCTGAAGCGTGAAATCAATGAGTGATGTCCAATAAGGGGGCATGTCTATCGCTAAAAAGACTTCCTTGTTGTCTGCTCTCTTGTATCCTCGCTAATCGCTCCTCACATTCCCCTCCTCTCTTATCAATCCTCTCTCCTTGGTTCAGTAAGAAGAGCTTTGAAACAATTCCTATAACTTGAAGCCCTTTCCAGTTTTTATGAAAGCAGTTGTTTCCATGGACACAATAAGCAAACTGCAGCTTCATGGAACAATTCTTACCCCTGTGGCTAAGATTTCTCCATTTCGCTCATATGCAACAGCAGTCACAGGTGCATTATGGGGTTTGAAGGCCTGTTTGAGGCGTAGCTCGGCATCTCCTTTGACACTGCGCCCGCTGGCCAGGTGTAGCCTCTGAGGGTTGAACAGCTCCAGTAACCGGACCACCCCGTCCTCAAAGCCCGTCACCAGTAAACCTCCACTCTGGTTCACCTGGAAACAAACACCAGAGGGTCACTTTTTTTATCTTATAAATCCGTCTGTATGTGGTAGATTCACACATTTTGCCCGCAGCACACTTACCAAAGTTGGAGCCCAGCTGAGAGCAGTACCACCCTGATTGAAGCGGCTGGTGGTCAGTTCTTTTTTTGCCAGGAAGTCAAAAACCTTAATTGATCCTGGAGAGCAGGTACAGATAAAGAGAGAGTCATTTTTATAGTGTGTGTAGTATGTGTGCATGTGTGCAGATGTGTGTGACTCACGGTCTAGAGTGGTCGTGGCCATCAGGTGGGATTTCCTCGACACGTCCAGGCCTTGGATCGGTCCGGCTTGAAAGGAGAACAGGCACTTTGGATCTGGAGTCTGAACACACAGAACACACATCAGCTGTTATCACATTATTTATTCAACTCATCGATGAAAACATTCTTTCCTTAGTATGTTTTCCTTAAAGGAGCAATATGTAACTCTGACACCCAGTGTTTAAAATGGCTACTGCAGTCCAAATCAAAAACACTGGAGAGAGCTGTCCACCCCACCCCCTCCTCCCTAGAGCTGATGTGCACGCAGGAAAATCAAAAAGTGTCAGTGAAAGAAACTCACAGTGTATGTAAAGGAAAGATCCAGTTTCCAGATGGCTCCGTTGGAATCCTAAAAAAATTTAAAAAAATGAAGAGATAGGTGAAACCGCATCATGTATTAAGAAAGATTTTGAATGGTTTTATTAAGTGACCTTTGACCTTCTTACCTGAGCAAACCAGACGAAGGAGTCAGGCGTTGAGCTCTTCACCACAGAGGAGAGGCAGACGTTGTGTCCCACCACCATCTCATTCATGGGCTCCATCTCAAACTTGCTGCTGTGGTCGCTGCTGTCGGCAGAGTCGATGCCCTCGAAGTCCCAGACCTGCAGGAGATGGATAGCGGGGGTGTGTGAGTGAGTGTGTGTGTGTGTGTGTGTGTGAGTGTGTGTGGTGTGTGTGTGTGTGGGGGTGGGGTGTTGGGGGGGGAGTCATTGCCATCAAAACCAAACTTTAAAATTTAGAATCATAAATCACGCTTGCTAGATTAGCCGTCCGTTACACGTGATAAAGAAATATCTGCAAAATACTTTCTTTTTTTTTTAAACTAATTTTATAACAGAGCCTCTTCATATCTGAACCTGTTACAAACTCACATCAGATATATTACCTTTCAAAGAATTCAATAATTCAAGTCAATAAGTAATATATATATATATATTTTCTTGTGTGGTTTTCATCAAACTTGTAAGTGATCTTGTGTTTTTACTTTAGTTGATTTTTAATTTATTATTATTATTTTTAAGTGTTAATGACCACCTACTTGTCAATCTCTTTGTGTGATTTGAAGTTGTAAACAGAAAACCATCTTCACTAGTAAACACTTTATAAGTCAGCCCCCTCAATTACAGTCACGACTTCAGTTTTGGACCAATGTGGATTATACAAACTTCTTCTGTTTCTGAGTGAGGAAATTAATTTATTGCCAGAAAATGTTCTTTGTGTATGTTTCATATTTTGTCCTAATTAGAGATGACATTTTTGAGTTATGGTGACTGCAGGTATCATACCCGGACCACTCCATCAGAGCCAATCGTCATGAGCTGTCCGTCTTCCAGGAAAACGGCTGGACCTTCCCTGCGTGGCAGTTCCTTCCCTCCTTGCGGCAGATCTCCACCTTGATGGCGTTCCCGTCCCACAGCAGCAAGTTGCCCCAGTCTGAGCCAGACACAACCTGACAGGAGCAGATGTCACATATTCTTTCTCTTCTGAGACTGTCAGAGGATTTCTTTTTTTTTTTTTTTAACACCAAAATATTTTTAAGATTTGGAGTTTGAAATCACAGTCTGTTTCTGAAGAAAATAAAAACATCCCAAAGTCCAGTGACAGAAAAGTCACTTACCCTCAGTGGACTTTGTGGTCAAATTGTTTGGTCAAAAAACGATTGGTAAAGAAATACATTTGTGAAAATGTGTAGATTTAAATCATCCTTGACACCAAATGATAAGCATATCGATGTCTATGATGTGTATTGAATCTGTTTAAGTGAGTGAAAAAGACATGATGCTGATGCACTGTTTCAAAGGTCTAATGTGACATGCCTTGACACAAAAGGAGTTTGACATTTAAAAAAAAAAGAGGGACTTGAGGGTTCTTGTGATTTGAAAATAAAAACGGGTCTTGCTTTATATATTTCTTTGTCTAACTGTGTACAAATCAAAACTGTCAGAACACTAATGCACGGACCTTCCCATCAGGTAGTTCCACGTAGCCTCAATATCAGTCGCTGCCGTTTTCCCAAAATGTCCCATCAGCCCTTGCAGTTTAAGACCTGTGAATGTGCTCGCCATTTTCCAGAATCTTGAAGAGAGAAGGGAGAGAGGTTTTTGCATCAATTCAAAAGCATATTCCAGACAATATGTCATCTAATGATAAGACAGTTTCTTGGCCAGGGAGCTTCGATTTCCTGACTTTTCCACTTGTTGCCAGGCAACTTGATGGTAACCACCAGACTCCAAGAAGAAACTTGTCCTGGCCAAGAAAACAGTCTGGCACATGACCTCCAATCACTGAAATCACAGCAGTGTTTTTAACAGTGTCTCAGGGCTTATGGAGGCTTCAGATCTTCTTTTACTTGATGTGATGTGATCCTGATGATGTGAGCAGTCCCGAGTTGTACGGAGAGAAGCTGACTCTGTAAACTTCCTGAGAAATGGCTTTACAGCTCAGCGTCACCTCCTCCTTCCTCCAATCCCACAGAGTCAGCATGTAGTCGGGATCACTACCCACACTGGCCAGCAGGTTCCCGTCTTGATTAAAATCCACAAAGCTGTATGCACGCTCTGTACCGCCTACAGACATGATGGATATACAATGATTATCAATAAAACAGAAAGATAAAAACTGAAAAATGACACCATTACTGGATCGGTGGTGTTTACCTCTGAGGATACGGTGTGGTTGTAAAGAGGGATATTCATAGACTATAATGTTGGGATGGTTTCCCTTCTCTGCCACGGCAAAGTACTCCTTACTGGGATGTGCCTTAACATGAACACACACAGAAACACAAACACACATGTAGAATGAAAACTCAGAAATCAGGAGTGTGTTTTTGTTTTCCCCCACACCCAAGGGACTTAAATCTTTTAAATCCCCCATCACATCCAGAGACAGGACACTTTTATTCGGTTTAGTTTTCATCCCATCAGCTCTCACACTCACAGCAATAAGAGAATAAAAAGACCTTTCCGACAAGGCTTGAGCATCAGTTGTGCAGTAATACTACCAGAGATAGTTTTCATATGAGTACAACAGTTCATATAAATCAAAGACCGACTAGGGCGTCTTAGTGGAATGCACTTTGTCAGCCATCTTACCGCGATGGAGCCGATTCCTCCTCCGCTGCAGGAGCGGAGGTATTTCTGCTCCTTGGTGGAGACGTCCAGCAGGACGAGCAGATTTCCTGCTATGAACATCAGAGTTGTGTCATCCAGCAGCTGCAGGTTGCCCCTGCGTCCACTGTCATAGCCAAAGGAGTGACTGAACGAGGGAGGAGTTAAGATTCACTGAGGTTTTTGATATTTCTTGAGATTATTTTATCAGTTCGAAGACTTCAGTTTAATACAATACATTTACATTAGGGTAGTTTAAAATCAATCAAGTGCAAGTTTAAATTATTATATCTCTATGTACCAATATCTATATTACTACTGTTATGAGTATTATGTTTTATATCATATTACACACAATATATACTCTATCACATTTTCTATTTCTACACCCTATAGTTCATAGAATTGCATAATTACCGTCTAGTACATAAACTGCTCTGAGGTTAAACTGTATGTTATTCTTTATATGAATATTTTAATTGCTTTCATACTTATACATAATAGCTGTAAAAAGAATATTGCACTGCATTTGAATATCAGATGCAGATTATTTCTTTATTATCCTCTCCTTCGAGGAAATTCTAGTTGAAAACTCTGGTAAACATATATAGTATTCATTTTTCTAATTTTTGCAATAATTAACAAAGTATTACGAGTGTGAGAATAATACTTGGTGTGTCGTATGTTTCATGAAACTAAATTGTCATAGAAGGATACGAGAGGTGCAGGAGGTTCTCTGGGATGTCAGAGTCCGGCGTGATGAACGGTCTGGAGTGAACCTCCTCACATGTGTAGGTCATGTCTGCAGAGAGCTGCTTGGTAGATCCTTCATTAGCCTCCGGCTTCACCGCTGAGTTTTCAGTATCACATTCTGTCAGAGGAGAAACATATTTGATGACAGCTTAAGTACCTAACAATTTGGCACATTTCCCCTGCTCTTTGTCTGGTGAAGAGCAGGTGTGCTCCAATAAGCTTTAAGATGTACACATCAAGTGATTGAATGAAATGCCATCACATTTCTGTGTGAATATAATAGTAGGCCTACTGTGTACCTTCCTCCTGTGAAGCTGACTGTGTGTTCTCAGCCTGTTCACCGACTGATGCTGTCTTTCCTTCCGACATTTCTGCTGTTAAATTAGCTGCATCTCTGTCATTCTGTCTGAAAAAATAAATAAATAAATAGGAGAGTTTATTATTCAAATCAACTTTAAATAAAGTCACACCAAACTGACCTTAACTTTAAACGGGCTATGACAACAACGCATAATACAACAGTTCCAGTTCCTCAGAAAGTCTTTCATATCAAGCTAACATTTCTCTAAACATGGGAACACTAACTTTCACTCGTGTTTATTATTTCCGACCTTTTTCATTAGGCTCTCTGTTCCCCTTGGTCCGTGTTAGTTTGGGGGCGTTACCAGGCAACAAGGAAAGTCACACCGCTGCCAAGCCTGCCGGTTATTGTAGTTCTGAGCCGTTTTCGATACATTGCAGGTTTCTTGATACTTGCTTCTTTTTTTGAAAGGGGGAATGTGACACAATTTTATTGATGGACTTATATTATAATTCCTTGGAAAGGTTACAAAAGTAAATCATACCAAAACTAGAATATCTGCTACATCACTGTTACCACGGTGACGGCTTCTTTCCCTTTTAACAGCCACGACACTTCAAATAAAAAGCTCGCTGTTAATTACCTCATTAAATTACCATACCAGCTGTGTTTCCCTAAGAAATGTGCGGAGAATACAGTAAATATACTGAACTAACAACTGCTGACGATACAGCTCAACTGCTTTTAGGCAGAACGGACCTGTCGCAAAGCCATACATTTTTTTTACGACAGCGAACGTTCAGTTTCATTGGACGGTTTGTGCCGTAAACTGTGACAGTCACAGAACGCATGGGACTGAATTGAGACGGCGTGTGATCATCTCAAACGTGAGTTACACTTGAAATATCTTGTAAACCTTGTTGTTGTTTACGTTAACGGGTTAGTTATACGACAGGAGCGCGTCGAGACATCAATAGTGTGGTATCATTTGTTGTCATTCATTGTTGATACCGTTAGCTTACTTAGCTAACCTCGGATAAAACTACAAAACAAGCAGGAGAGAGGAAACATTTTCAGAAAAGAAGCAATAAAAGTTTGTTTAATCCCAGAGGTAACTAAAGTCTAATCAGTGAAATGAACATATATAAAGTGGTGGTGATAAAATACTCAAAGATATCTACTGACTTGTTCGTGTGTCCTTTGCTTATTATTACTTACTTAATCTCATTTCAACTTAAAATCTATTTATTCTACACATTACATTCAAAGGCAGCTGTTTAATGAAGCTTAGAGATACAAGAGACGGAGAAAAGAACGATTCAAACCTTGAAATGATAAATCTTATCAAGTGTTTCGGGTTAAAGGTGAAGAAGATGTTTTTACATTTGAAGAAGTCTACTCACAATGAAATATGAAGAGTTTCGAGTAGTTTTCGTGCTGTTTTTGACCCTGTTTACTGAAACAATTGTCCCTGTTGGTTTCCTCTTCACTGTTTGAGTTATAAATGATATGAATATATAATTTAATATGACATTCATGTTTAGTATGGTGGTTTTGGTTTCTTCAGGAGAGATTACGAGGTTTGCATTATCCCAAGAAACTGAATTTGCCCACCCTTGAAAACTATTTTTTGTTGTTTTTTTTCAAAGCCAAGATTTCTCATAACTTGTGTTTCTGTTTCTTCCTCTTGGATAGACACAGAATGGAGGCTAAATCCAAAAAACCCTTCTCTCCAAAAAGTGGAAAGACGTTCTCACAGAAAGGAAAGGGTAAGCTCAAGATAACATTACCCAGCTTCATACTGCATCAGTTTCAACCCAGTTTCTCATGAGCGTGTCCTCCTCTTTCCAGATTCCCTAGGGACCAAACTTGGTGGAAAACCAGGCGGAAAGCCAGGTGGTAAAAAGCCCTTTAAATCACACAACAATGCAGAGCGCAAGAGCAGACCGGGAAAGGGCGGCGATGGCAACAAGAAATTTGCTTTCTCCAAAGATGGGAAGGGACCACAGAAGAGGAAATTTTCATCTTTTAAAGCGAAAAATAAAGAGGAGGGGGAAGGTAAAAGAAAGACAGTCTGCTTTTCACAGTTCCATTACACATGACACAAACAGTGACAGGTCTAATGTTTGTCTGTGTGTCAGAAGGTCCTGATGCAAAGAAGATGAAGAAAGGTGAGTTCAACCCAAAGAGGAAGATGACAGAGGAGGAGCTGAAGAAGAACAGACAGCAGAGGAAGAAGGACCTGAAGACCAGCAGACAGCAGGCGGAGAGGAAGGACATGTTCGACATCATCTGTAACGCCAAGCGAGTGTGGGGAGAACTCAGGAGGTAACTGCAAACACTCACGTCACACACCTGGACAGAGAGTTTCCTTTGAGTGTCATTTTTAACTTTTTTAAAATGTTTGTTTCTAGAGAGGAGGTCGGATCCATCAATTCTAATGTGTTCCATTTAGTCCAGGAGACATAACGCTGATTGGCTTTCTTGAAACTTCAAAGAGATTTGTTGCTCAAGCTGAATGTTTTAATGTAAGAACTGTATGTTTCCTTTTTAATAAGACGATGCTGCTGTTTTTTGTTTCTCAGGAAGAATTGTGAAAACGACACCAAGAAGAAACTGATGAAGGAGCTTCACGATCTGATCCGTGGGAAGATCAAACAGGTGAGCCTCTCTCTCAGAAACACAGAAACATGTTCACACAGTGGATTTGAAAATGTAATGTAATTATTCAAGAAGAAAGAAGAATGATCGTTCACACATCTCTCTCTCTCTCTCTCTCTCTCTCTCTCTCTCTCTCTCTCTCTCTCTCTCTCTCTCTCTCTCTCTCTCTCTCTCTCTCTCTCTCTCTCTCTCTCTCTCTCTCTCTCTCTCTCTCTCTCTCTCTCTCTCTCTCTCTCTCTCTCTCTCTCTCTCTCTCTCTCTCTCTCTCTCTCTCTCTCTCTCTCTCTCTCTCTCTCTCTTCTCTCTCTCTCTCTCTCTCTCTCTCTCTCTCTCTCTCTCTCTCTCTCTCTCTCTCTCTCTCTCTGGACAAAATCATGTGGGAACAATCCCACGGTGTTGTAGTGTGACACATCTTGTAAACTGGCTCTTTGTTGACTGTTGTTCCGCTGCCTCTAGATGGCGTTTGCTCACGACGCCGTGCGAGTCCTGCAGTGTTTCATCCAGTTCGGCAGCCACGAGCAGAGAAAGGAAGTGTTTGACGAGCTCAAAGGTGAGCACACGAGTTTGTTCTCTTCATCTGCTGCTTCACAATCTTACTGTGTGTGTGTTTAGTTTCCATGCATGCTCAGTTTTAGCAGGCTAAAGACAAAACATGGTGTTCAAAACTTCACCGTGACATACAGATTGAACTGCCCAGGAACACCGTTAACTCTCCTTACTCTGTCGTTGTCCCGCAGATGACATCATCGGCCTGTGTAAGTCTCAGTACGGCAAAAACATGGTGAAGAAGCTGCTGATGTACGGGTGAGTCAACAAACATCCATGTTTCAAAAAGCAAATCACAAACTTCCTGTATGACGCGGTTTGTAAATCAGAAAAAAGAGACCGCTTTACACCGTTTTAAAACATACAAAAACAAAATGAGATAGTCGTTTACTTTCCCTCGTTTTGCTTGTTAAATTCTGGTGAAGTTATTTAGATAAAAGGACTTGAGACTGAGACGACCTCAGTCAAACTTAGGGCTTGTTGATGTGTTTTCTTCAGCTCTGACCCTTTACGATATACAGACGTTCTTTGGTGGTGAATGACTCATGCGTTTGTGTTTTCCTCCACAGGAACAAGGAGCTGCTGGCAGCTGTGATGCTCACATTTAAAGGTCACGTGCGTCAGATGCTTCGCCACGCCGCCGCCTCGTCCATCATCGAGTACGCCTACAACGACAAAGCTGTGCTGGGACAGAGACTCATGCTCACCGAGGAGCTGTACGGGAACACCTTCATCGTGTGCAAGTACACACACACACACACCATACCATAGAGCCGAGCTTTGTGTGTGAAGTATCTGCTGCTGATCATATCTTTGTGTGTGTGTGTGTGTGTGTGTGTTTGTAGTCATATGTGTGTAACACCGTCGATAAGGTCGCCAAGGAGAACCCGGACAAACTGAACAACATCATCGATGAGATGAAGAAGAGCCTCACCCCCATGGCTCAGAAGTAAGACAAAAACAAACACTACAAACATATAACATGTATTGATCTGTGTGTAGCACAGGCCTATATGTGTGTGTTACACATTTCAATAAGAAAAGAGTGTTTCCTTTTATTCTCTAAATGTAAAGACTTTAACCCTCTCGTGTTCTGTTGTGTTTCAGAGAACAGGTCATCAAACACTCTCTAGTCCACAAAGTCTTTCTGGACTTCTTCCACCTCTCTCCTGAAAAACAGAGAACGGTGAGCGGCTCTTTGGCATTTCAATCCTCTATTCATTATAAAATACCTGGAGCACATTCTCATGTAAAAGTCTTATCAAATGTGATGTTTGATGTAAAACAGATATGAAGAAAAATCAGTTAAACACGAGCAGAAGTTTAAGCTGTGAAGAAGACAACAGAACCCTAAAAAGACGTCTAGACATCTGTCATGAACACCGCACAGATTGTTCAGTGTTTCCTGTATTGAGAGTGAAACCCCCTCCTCTGATTGGTCTGGGTTTTTTTTGTGCTTCCTGTATCCTCTCCTCTGATTGGTTGTTTTGTTCTGAGCAGGAGATGATCGAGTCCATCAGAGAGTCGGTCGTCTACATGGCTCACACACACGACGGAGCACGAGTGGCAATGCACTGTCTGTGGCACGGAACAGCAAAGGTACACACACACACACACACACAGACACACACACACAACATTTTACAACCATTTAACTCTGTAATAGAAATGTTCCAGAAGTTGTGGATTTATATCCCACCTCGGCCCTTTGCTGTATGTTATTCCCGTCTCTCTCCTCCGGGGCGTTTCCTGTTTCTCTTGATCGGTTTTATCTGATAAAGGGAAAAAAATGAAATGTTTTGAAAAGTGCCTGTGTTGATATTTGAGCTGATTGTGGTGTAACTTTGTGAAGTATAATTTAAATGCTTCATTTTTGTAAAAAACTTTGTGATGTAGGTCTGTAAACTACAAGAGGTGATAAAAACTCAACGGTTCTGTTTTTTACGTAAAACATTTTAAAAATAGGTTCATTAATAGTTCTGTCCCCCTCAGAAGGAATTTAGTATCATGATTGAGTCAACACATTTTTCTGTTGTTCAAACCTTTCTCTCACATAACGGATAATACAGAGCAGCTGCCTCATTGGTTGAGCTTTTTTTCACATTAATAACATCTCCTTCACAGGAGGGACAAGAAACAAGTCTGCTGTACTGAGTCTTTGATTTGAGCAAATGTTGTGTTTGTTTGTTCCAGGACAGAAAGGTCATCATCAAAACTATGAAGACGTACATGGTGAAGTTTGCTACAGTGAGTTCTCAACGCTGCTCCATTCATCATACAAACCATCGATACCTTATTACCTGGATGGATAAAAGATCTGACTGAAAGATGATTGTTGATGTGGATGAAATATTTGATGGAGGTTGTCAGTACTTTGTTAGAGGGACAAAGTCAGACCACATCCACACTGAACCACCTTTAAAAGGAGTCTCTTCTTCTTGTAGTCTCTCATAAACTTCTGTTGTACTCGTCCGTTGTAAAACCTTTTTTTTTTTGTCCACAGGGGGAGTTTGGTCACCTTGTTCTTCTGGCTATATTCGACTGTGTGGACGACACGAAGCTGGTCAAACAGGCCGTGCTCTCAGTGAGTCTGAGCTCATTTGGATTATTTAAAATCTGTTTGGTCAGGATAATATGAAAATGTTTTGGATTCATCTATAAATCCCATTTCATGTTTTTTCCACCCGTCAGGAAATCTTGGCGTCTCTGGACGAGGTCATCGGTAATAAATACGGGAAAAAAGTGTTGTTGTACCTGCTGAGCCCGAGAGACCCGGCTCACCTGCTGCCAGAGATCATCAAGGTGCTGGAGCAAGGAGACGGGAACACACACAGGTAACAGCTGATTTATCAGAGCCACAACCGTTATCTTCAATTTAACCTCACAAAAACCCTGTTTCCACCAAGTGGCACAGTATTGTAAACCCTGAACCCTCACTTTGTAAGCAGAGTTTACACCCTGTCAGTTACGTAACTGTGGTGCATCGTAGCACATTGAAGCCTGCTAATTAATTAAACGAAGAAAAAACGCTGATATTAGTCACACAAAAAATGCATTGAAATTACTCTCTAGAAATCCACGGGATATTAAACATGGTGTATTTGTGTTACGGGAAGTAACGATTCTTTCGACGTATCAACGGACTGCAGAAAGTCTAGCTCCACCTTTTTAAGGTTGGATCTGTCCACTTGGCACCCCAACAGAAGAGTAGCGTAAAAGTAGGACATTAGGGATCGGTTATTTTGGTACCAATCCCAACTTTTGACGTTGAAAACGCCAACAAATACGTACCAAGACGAACTGACCCAAGTCTCTTGTGGAAACAAGGCTAAAGGTGTTAATTAATCTGCTGGGGGAAAATGCTACAGGTTCATTTCTCCCATGTCCTGTAAGAAATAAACTGATTCATAACGATGATGCATAAAGTGAACATCAGATAGTGTCCTTTTCTCAAGTAAGATGTCCCAACCTACTCTGTGCTCCAGCTAACAGGCTAAGTCAAGTGACAAAACCTAGCTCTGGTTCTGTTTATGTCAAGATTAAAAGAACATGTCAATGCCCTGCAGCTCATTTGATTCATGTCGAGTGTAAAAGTAAACAGAAATATTCATGACTCTCTATGATTTGTTAATCTAATCTCACTCCAGTTGTCCATGTATGTTAAAGTCTGCTTCGTTAGCACTTTGACATCATGTTAATAAGTACTATCCCCCCTGTCTTCCTCCTATCAGTAAAAAAGACTCAGCCATTCGGAGGAAGGAGCTGATCGAAGCCGTCTCACCCGCTCTGCTGGAGTATCTCCGTGACAACGCCGCCACCATGGTGATGGACAAGGCGAGTTGCGTCACCGTCAGTGACATCCTGGCTTCAGCCTGCGGTGACCTGCGGCCTGCCATGACATCCGTGTCTCAGCTGGCCAATCAGGAGTTGGTGCCAGGAGGGATCAAGGGACAGGTACAGTGTGTGAAGTTTAGAACTAGAAGCTTGTTTCATGTTCAACAGGAAGAGTTTACATTGAAGCCATCACTGTCTGTTAACGACCGGAGCATTTCTGAATCTTTTCATCATCTGTGTGTGTGTGTGCTGCAGCTTCACATGGCCGAGCATCCTGCAGGACACCTGGTGCTGAAGTGGCTCATAGAGCAGGACATGACGCTGGCAGAGGCTGGAAAAGAAGGTAATAAACACAAACATACCTGATGCTGCATACTCATACCATGGAGACATTTACCTCACTTTGTTTTACACTAGTGTGGTTTTTATTCTGCTAATGATAATGTGATATGCAAAAAGTCTGACAAAAAAAACACCATTTCCAGCTGGCTTAGGTCAGGACTAAGTTCAGGACTTGCAGGAATGCTTAAATGGCCAAAAGAGGGCGCCAGTGAACCTAAAACTGTTAACAGACTAACTTTCCGTCCAATTGTAGTTCAGAGTGTTTTTACATTTTTGAAGACTAGGAGGACAAAGAGGTGGCCTTGTTGGGCTTAATCTATGTCAGTATGTGGATAATGGAAGCCTTCTCTCTTCTCGTTGTCTCTCAGAGCGCTTCGGCAGGATTCTGGTGGACACAGTGGGAACAGACAAACTGAAGACCTGGATCAGAGTCAACAGAGGAGCCATGGTGCTCTGCGGGTCAGTGCGCACACTCACACACCATACACTATTAGAATCTTCCCCCTCTTTAGAAGGGTATCCAATGGGAAGTATCTCTCACCTGCAGTGTTTTTAATGGCCAGCAGGGGGGAAGGATTAAGAAGACTGATGCATTCAAGCCAAATATTAGCATAGTTTTTTTCTTCTCTGCTTCCATTTCAAGTAGAACAGAAGCTAAAGCAGGCTTTGCTCTGTGGCATGGCTGCCACAGCTACATGCTAACGAAAATAAAGGTGTAGTCATTTATCTTCATCCAAATATGGTCACGTGTTCTACAAGGAACCAAGCTGGCCCAGCTACACACAAACAAACAGGCGTATTCCACTTACGGACAGTCTGGGGCACACATA